CAGCATGTAGATCTGGAGGCCAGCAGCCAGCAAAAACAGCAGTTGAGTTTGGATAAGTGATGACATTTGGCCTGTATGTCGTTCTGCTGATCACCCTAGGTCAGAACACCCCCTGGAGCTGGCCTAGTCGGGAACAGGCCACATTATTAACTATGAATTTGTCACTGAGTATTGTAAAGGAACAGGAGGGGCGGGCTGTATGGGTGCAGTGGGCAGTGGGGTGGCTTGTGGAGGAGGTGTGTTGTTAGGGAGTAATTTTAAGCTTCTATCCTTTTCAGTCCCTATCAGTGAGTTTCAGCAAAGATTTGATAAAGAATTTTGTTGCTACTATATTATCGTAATCATGGTTTTAAAGGTGTATAAATAATTTTTTTTTTTTGGCCAAATGCTCTATTTACATTTTTAAAAGAAAAAAGTGTGTTTTTGTTATGTAAGTTTGATTACATAACAAACTCAGGTATGATTCTTATGGGTTTTCTATCCCCCCCCCTTCTGTGTTTTATGAAAATATGCTATATATGACTAACTTGCTTTTCTTTTTCATTTCCACACAGGAAAGAGAAAAATATTGTTCAGATAACTGATGTAACCATTATTAACTAGCGTTTGACTGAGGATTACTGTGGAAAGTTTTACTGTTTGCTAGATCTCTAATTTAAAATGCCAGTAATCTTTTATAGGAATTTCAACTTCTGCGATTTGGTAATAACAGATCTAACAGGTAAGTAAAAAGAATGAGAATCTCGTACAATTTGAAGGTCTAAGCTTGGTTGAGAATTTAATATTTTGTAACCAGAAAGCCTGTTGATTTATTTAAAGCTAAAGACAGTAATGGAAATGCCCAGTCCTATTGAGGACTGAGTGAATCTTTAAGGCAGCATTTCTGATGTTTCTTTGGTAGTTGCTGTTGGAGTCAGAATTTAGGAACAAACCTAATGGCCTTTGTCAAGTCCTTTGTCATCTCACAGAGGAATGAGTTAAAGAAAAAGACTTGCTGAAGTTTCTCCCTCCCACTGAGTGGGCAGTGCTCCGTTGCGGTCAGTGAGAGTCACACCAGAAAATCCATACAGCGGCTTTCAGCAGCAGTCTTAACACTTTCTTTGACTCTCCCCCCCCACCCCACCCCCGAACTTAAAAATTTATCGGTGCCTAAATAACACGCCCGGAATTAGCAGGTAGAAATTGTATCATGAGCTTCCTTTCCGCTGACATACAGAGCTGGGGCATTGTGGATTTTGGGTAATAAAAGACTCGTAATTTTTTTTAATTCACTGATAGTAAGAAATGTACTTTACATCACATATACTTAAAATACATAGGTATGTGTGTGTAAAATAAAAGTTTCACAATAAAGGGATGCACTGGTTTCTAATCTGCTCTGTTGTAGTCTATCCTTTTCGTTCAAAGATAAATGAAAAGATCACAACCCAAGACATTGATTTCAAGACACACACACACACACACACACGCAGCTTTTCCTTTTCAGGTAGTGGTCCTCACAAAACATGCCTCATCTCTCATGTACGGACCTCTTTGAATATTTTAAGATGTGTACAAAAGCTGGAATGTAAAATCTCTAAACATGTTGTAGTTCAGTTCCTTGCCTGTCTCAGTTGCATGAGATGCGCTGTGCACTGGGATTGGTTACCGCCCTATGCCTTTGGCCTGACAGGCTGAGTTCCAGGCATCACTGGACCCAGTGAAGAGGGGTCAAGATGGAAAGAAATGCATGAGCAAACTGTACTTGGGCTCTGTTTTCTGTACCTCACTGCCCTGAGCCTGGCCATAAAGTAGTTCTGCCAGGTGTCTCTGGTGTTTGGTTTTCTCTTACTGGTCCCTATAGAACAATTCTGGCTTGACTCTTAAATCCCAGCCTGTTCTCCAGGTATGAAGTATAGACTGAGTTGGACAACACGGGAAGATGTGTGTTCATACGTGCAAATAAGGATTTGGTTGTATATTTGTGCCAATTTTAAAATGATAGTGGGCAAGCTCAGACCCTTTTTCTGCCTCACTTCAGGACGGAAGGAGGCAAACGTAAGTTTTAAGTTGAATCCCTTTTTGTGGGTGTTTGGAAATGCTGCAGTAATTTCTCCATTCCAATATATTGAGAACTGTAGTTTGGAAAATACTGAAGTCTGTTCCCTATAAGTAGTTAGTCTTTTAATAGTCTTGGATTAAATGTCCAGTTAGGTAGAAAGTGAGTAAAACAACAACACAACACACTTCAGTCTTAAAGCTAACTTACATGATCAGAACTCCCCCAAATTGTACTCTACTTGTATTACTGTTCACCAGCGGTCCCACACAGCCTCTCCACAGAGATTCTGGCCTTTAGGCCCAGTATCCTCCCACCTTTGGCGCAGACACAAAGCGAAGGGCCTCCATCCCCCTTTGACCATCGGAGATGTTGAGCCCTAGCTAGTTTGGCTCTGCGGATAGAGCGTCGGCCTGGAGACTGAAGGGTCTTGGGTTTGATTCTGGTCAAGGGCACATGCCAGGGGGCGTGCAGTAGGCAGCCAATCAGTGATTCTCTCTCATCACTGATGTTTCTATCTCTCCCTTCCTCTCTGAAATATATTTTAAAAAAATAAGAGATGTTGAGAAGAGCAAAAGGGTCAGGCTTGCAGTGTCAAGCTCTATAACAGTGACTCCTGTTCAGGTAAAAATGGCAGTCATTCTTTTTCTTTTAAGCATCCTAGGTCTTTGGAAATTCGATAAAACTGTATTGTCTTCCCAGACAAGTAGACATACATACAATCTCTGCTCTAAGATGCCGAAGAGGCTGTAAGAACGTAATGCACTCTGTTGAATTAACCCTCAGATTCTCCTGGACTGGCGATGGCTTGTGAGGGTTGGTACAGAAACAGCACAGATATCATCCGTTTCTTTTAACCTGATGTTGTCATTACATGTTCCTGCTAATCACGGGTCGGCATTTTCTTTCATTTGCTCAGAACATGGCTAAACTGTTACCTGCTATCGGTGGTCCAGAAAGGACAGCTATCCCAGCGAAGAAACTGGAAAGTCCCATAAACCTGTGTACTGCAGAATTCCCACACAGGTCAACCTGTAGGGATTAGAATTCGCTGTTAGCCAGATAGAGGGTGAGATTCTGTGGAGACCTGTGCCTACCAGGGACAAATACTGTTTGTCATCTCCAACTGAACCGTTGACTGCTGGGGTGATTTGGGTGGCCTTGTGCTCTGAATTGTGAAAGAGCTGAGGCAAATAGGGACCAGAAGTTTCGCGAGGCAGGCAGTGTTTCCCCTTTACGAGTAAGGAACACTGGTTTTTGTTTCTTAGGTCTTTTTGGTGGTCAGGGGTACGTTTTTCCCTGAACCTCGCTGCTCTTCTCTGTTAGGAAATAATATTTACAATCTAGCTGACAGTGGGATTCTTGAATCCACCTGAATTGAGTACCAACCATTGGTTTGTAAGCAATCAGACATTCTGAGGAGTTGACTCAGCTTTAGAAAGTTCGGCTTTTGCCTAAGCCTCGTGTGTTTCCAGCAGCACTTAGGCTAATATGGCCGTGAGCCAGAACTCGCCCAGGGATTGTGTTCTGGCACATGGGGACTTGGTGCTAAGGAGAACCCAGAGATTTGTATGTCAGTTCCACTTGGGTCCAGGACTTGAAGTCGATTGGGGGTAAAAATGGAGAAGAGTTTTTTTAAGTGCGCCTGTTGAAATACAGAGCTGCTCTCAACAAGAGAGAAGCCACACTGGTCAGGAAGGCCTTTTCTCTCTGGAACTCTTCAGGGTTGTGTCTTAGAGGGAGCCCAAGAAGTTTCCGGAACTGAAGGGAAGAAGTGAACAGAAGCCTGATCTGCGAAACTGATCAGCAAAATGGAATCTTGCTGGTCCCTTATTGGTTTCCATTTCTTTCCTGTTCCATGTGGACAGTCCCCCATCATTTCACCCTCCGGGGTAAGATGAGTAAGGGGATTAGGATATACCTACAGGGTTTCTGAGGCCTTGGCTGTGATGTTTTGTAATCATAAAATTAATACAAAATATGTGTTCTCGTTGGGCAACATTATTATTCATCCTTGCTTTTACTAAATGGTCTAACAATGTTAATGAGTGTGTCTACTCACCAGAACAGGAAGTATCAATGCCAGGTAACCACCAGAGAAAATGGCAAAGACGACGGTATAGGTCATCAGTAGCGGGAAGGTGGTGGCTAACGGAGCAAGCAGGTTAGTGATGCCGCAGAGTGCGAGGTAAAACTTGTGGTAATGGTACTTGCTGGTCCAGTTTTGATCAGCAATCCATCCAGAGAGAACCTGACTGACTGCCTCAGTGATACCTAGAAGTTTGAAAGGTCTTATGAAATCCTAATTCCATTTTCCCAGCCCCTTTGAAGAATGTAAATGCCTAAGGCATCTTTTCCTAAGTACATGACTTCATCCTTAGGCTAGGACACACGAGGAAAAAAAAACGGTTTTATTTGCCTATCAGTAGATTATATCATTTACTTACTAGTAAGTACTCCAGACACATCTAATAAATTACCAGAAAGTTCATACCACTGAGCTGGGAGTCCCTGGTTACAGAGGACCCCGGGCTCAGGGAGCCTTCCTCAAAAAGGAAGTGTGAGCTTGTAAAGACTAGTGGGCTTCTGGTTTGTGTCCCGGGGAAGTCAGAGGGTGGGTGATGAGTATAAATAATAAAGCCTTATGTTTACAAAAAGAAAAAGGAGGTGTTGGGACTCTTATAATAGCATGTGAAGATTTGAAAATTAAGTCCTTCTCCAGAGGTTGTTATGCTTAACTTGGAAAATATGTAGGAAGTCTGGAAATGGGAGATCATATTTTGAACATGACCTATGATGTAACTTGAACAAAATGTAAGAACCACAATTTCGCTTAATTTCATAACAGAAATTCTTAACCTTTATCCTGTTAGAAGCTAATGTAGTGGTTAAATACCAAGAGATTTTCCCCAACAGTAGCATGAGCTGTGGTGGTTTTATGCTTCAAATCCTTCCTGCAGTTCAAACATAAATTGCTCCACACACACACACATTAAAAAGAAGTAAAAATACAGAATACTACCATTTCTGTATTTTTACAGTTATTTCCTAGGACACCTACTGAGTTGCTTATGTTCTTTTGTTCCATTATATAGCCCTAATCTCATCTACATTGATACTACTAGACACTTTAGTGAGAACGTCTGTTGAGCTATGTATCTTTTGTGTGTGTGTACATATATTTTATTTGATTGAGAGTACCTTTGCATTTGGAGGCGGAGTGCAGTCAGATCTGTAAGGCTTGGTAAATAGTCTTGCAGAGGAAAGTCACTGTGAGCTACCGAGACTTTCCAGACAACTGGAGATAACCAGTTCCATTTCGTCCCTTCTCAGTTTTTAAAAACTATCAGTCAATCCATTAGTGACTAGCCTCACCAGGCATATAGATGTCTTACTATGAGTCCAAGTGGAAAATGCTTAGCTACAAGTATTAGTAGAACATGATTGCAGGCTTACAATGGGCCAAGCACAATCCTAAACCTCTCATACATGACTTGTTCAGTCCTCATAAACTTATCAGGGTAGGTAGGTACTATTATCCCTATATTACCGATGAGGACATTGAGGCACAGAGAAAGCACATAACCTGTCCAAGGTCATACAGCTCGGAAATTCAGAGCAAAAACTTGAGTCCGGGAAGTCTAGCTCCAGAATGAAACGTTTCAACCAGTGCACGATGCTGTCTCCCTGGAATTTCTTTTGCTCCTTGAGTGGTGGTTGCCACTAAGCACCAGCTTTTAAAAATACTCTATTTTCCAACAAATACCTAATATCTACTGTGTCAGACACCTATGAAAAACTAACAAGACTTTCTGTTTGCTTGTTGGAGTGTGAGGTTGCAGTAGGCTTTCTCACCAGCAACAGAAACGAGGTAGGAGGCGTCCATCATGTCGATCCCCAGTGTTTTGGCTCTGGCTACCAGGTGGAAGGTAGGGATCAAATACGCCAGCTGACTGAAGAGAAAAGACCAGGTGAATATGCAGAAGAAAGGGTTCTTTAAAAGAGAACTATCACAAAGATTTTGTTTA